TTATGGGTGATAACTGAGGGGTCAATACCTTTCATGTCTTCTTGCTTCCAGGCAAACACCCCAACGTTCTTCTTCAGGAACTGGATGAGAAGATCCTTAATTTTCCTACTCAGTTTCGACCCGACGTAGACAAGGTGTTCTGGCTCCTCACCAAGCTGAATAGGCTCTAGCTCTTTCGATGGCATTGACCTAGTGTCCAGTTAGTCTCTCATGCCGAGCTCGCCTAACTGGATATTCTTAACTTCTTTCTACTTCATCGAAATCATGTAGCACTCCCTTGCTACCCGCTGATCTCTTCGGACCACCCTAGTTCCATTTTCTGTTGGAAATTTCATAACTAGGTGATAGGCAGAGGGGATGGCTTTTATTGCGTTGAGGGCAGGTCTCCCGAGTAGCATGTTATACGCAAAAGGGGCATCACCCACCAGGAATCTCACGGTGGTGGTCGTCTGACAAGGAGGATCTCCTATTGTGAGCACAAGCTAGATTGAGCCTAGGGGCAATAATCTTTCCCCTGTGAACCCCAACAGATGAGCGCTTACTGGCTCGAGCTTCTCCCTGCCTATGCCCATTTTATCATATGTGGAGGCGAAGATGATATCTACAGAACTCCCGTTATCAATCAGAACTCAATGAACAGTTCTGTTTGCCACGACAGCCCTTACTACCAGCGGGTCATCATGGGGATGTTGGTAACCTTCCAAGTCTGAGTCTGAAAAAGTGATAATTGTGCTCAGTCGGGGTGCCTTGGACACGGTGTGCACTACGGGTGCTTCGTTAGCTCTAATTCTACGCATGTGAGCCTTTCTGGCTAAACTAGACTCTCTGCCTCCGGCGAATCATCCAGATATACTCTAATTTCCCCTAGGGGTTGCTGGTGCTGCACAGGGGCCTGCTGCTAAGGTGGCGGAGCTCGGTTTTGATTGTCTTGAGCTACGTAATGGCGTAACTATCCTCGTTGGATTAAGAACTCAATTTCTTTCTTTAACTAGATGCAGTCATCGGTGTGATGATCATGGTCTTTATGGTACTCATAGTACTTCGTGGGATCTCTTTTTGCTGGATCTGTTTTCATCCGAGGTGGCCATCTTAGGAATTTCTCATTTTGTACCACATACAAGATCTGCGAAATTGTTGCAGTGAGAGAGGGAGCTGTCGAGGTGCGCACCTAGGTTACAACTCTGGCTGAGGCGGACCTAAGCGATTTCTGACATCTCCCTTTCTTTTGGGGGAAGGATCTTGGTCTCTTCTCGTAGACCTATCTCATCCTCTTTCTCTTCTAGGACTTCGGTCCCTCTTTTTCTCTTCTTTCCCTTTGTCTTATGCGTGCAAGAACACCCTACTTTTGAGAGAAGAGTTTCCTCGCCGTTTATATACTTCTCTGCTTTGGCCAGTACCTCTGTCATGCTTGCCTAGGGTTCTTTGAAATAGAGAACATCAGATCCTTAGATTGTACGCCCAGACCAACTATGAATGCAGTAACTTCAAACTTTTCGTCTGGGACATCCACTTTTAGTGACTCCGAATTGAACCTCTAGACGTAAGTCTTGAGATTCTCTTGGGGACCTTGCTTTATGTTCAGTAAGTGGTAGCACGATTTTCTATATGTCCAAGCTCCTATGAAGTGAGATACAAAAGATATGTAAAGTTCTTTAAAGGAGGAGATCGAGGTGGGGGGAGCCTATTGAACCACGCCAGGGCTGAGCCCTTTAATGTGATTGCAAAGGCCCTGTAGCGCACGGGATCCTGATACCCATGCAGTTCCATCTGGTTCTTGTAGATATTGAGGTGGTCCACAGGGTCTTTCGTCCCATCAAAAACCTCTATCTGTGGCATTCTGAATTTTGGGGGAGGAAAAAGTGCAGCACGCCAGGGGTGAATGAGGACTCAGTCTGTTGCACCAAGGCATCCATTGTAACCGGAGCCTTGCCCCTCACCGCTTCCTTCATGTGGCTTAGCTCCTGTTGGATGCCCTTGAAGCGCTGCTCTTAATACTCTTATCTTTTCTTCTGCTGATAAAGGAAGAAGTCATTCATTTCGCCCTCATCATTTTGACTTTGCACCTCTTCATTGTGCTCATTCCTAGGGGGTGGATGGGGAACTTGCCTCAGGATCTAGCTATTTTTTTCTCATTCATTGATTTCTTTGAGGTGGTCGAGGTGTTATTGTTCCCTAAGCGGTGGGTTATTCTAGCCTTCTTGGGCCTATCGTGCCTCCTGAGAGCGTTGCAAGGGCTTCAGAAGCTCCTCGTTCTGCTGTAGTAGACGTTGATTGACTAAGCAAAGAGCCTCAAACTCATTATTTGTGGGGGGATTCCCCATAGGAGGATTTCACTCTAGGACATTCTTGGGTTGTTTGTCGTTGGTGGCTTCCTGTTGGTTCTGCGTTTAGGGTAGATTTGTTTGGTTTATGCTCATATTGCGAATTGAGACCATCAGTTACTGAAACATCAGTGTTTTTGTAACAGGAACAGTCGTATGGGAAAATTACGTTTAACATGTATGGGCAAAAGATTGAAATTACATTTGACAATGCAAGTTTGGGCTTCTGGGTTCTTGCGGATTGTGAAGGGAATTTCTTGGGATTGGGAGAATTGACACAAGAAAAATATAATGGTTCACCAGCTCGGGAGCTCGACTAGTCCACTTTTCAATTGAGGCTCTTGCTCCTTTTGTTTCATTAACGGAGAGTAATAAATTACAGTTGATTCCTTATGCTACTAGGGTTCTACCCCTTTGCTAGAGGTGTCACTTAGTATTTGTAGGACTATTCCAAGATCTATGGGATCTGCACCGAGATCCTTGCCATTTATCCGAGGGATTCTCTTTGATTTTTGGAGAAGATCTTGGTTGGTTGAGTGTTTTACACCTTGAATATTCCTCTTGGCCACTTGTAGGATCCCTGTTAATATCCAGTTGTTATCATATAACTTCCAAATGTTACCTCGACTGAGGGGAGCTCTATCTCTGATCCACTGAGCTCCGAATGATTTGTCTGACCTCTTTGTTTGAGCTTATACTTAAAAATTATTTTGAGTATCATCAGTGATATACATTATATGACAATGCCATGTTGTATGTTAAACCCACGAGAAATTTACTCTCACAACTCTTATGCTAGGTAACATGTTTTCGTGGCCATGCATGCATGTGTCAATTGAATTGGTCAATACTTCCATAATTTTACTAATGTGAAAGCTGACTTTAATAATGATCTTGTTGATTAATTACAATTTTTATTTTCTAAAGAGTTGTTGCACCGTTTGCACTTCCTGCAATATAATAAACCCAATATGTAAAGAAAGATGAAGTGAATACGTCCTACCTATCTTTTTTGGTCTTATTTATACATAAATTATGCTTATCCTCAAAGTCAAGTTCATAACCTCATAGTTGCAAATTCGATAGGATTACCACCATACCAAACTATATATCAAACTAGGAAAGGAATTATATATGGATGTGATCCTTTGGGGGAGTGATAAAGGATTGCTCTAGTAAAAGAAATGGATATAATCTATTGGTAGAGAAAATGTTCAATATAATGATACATACCACGTCATCTTTTATATTTAGTATCACCAACTGATATTTATCAACTTCCGATGTTCTTGACTGTTGGAGAAAGATGATATTCTAGCAATTCCATTCCCCAAACCATAGTGAGTGTATGAAATAAAGTCATGATCTCATGAAAGCGGCATTATTAAAGGGGAGACTTTTCATCAAGTCCATGAACTACAATATTCAAATTCTGTATGAAGTATGAACTCCAAGCTACTGGGATCATTATATAATGAATGTTCACTTTTGAGTCATTGCCTCCCCGAATTATGGTTGGCACAACTTTCCGAGGAGTTGACCCTGAACACGACGGTTTCACATGAGAGTAAATCGATAATATTGTCATTAGATTGATAGTGATCTATAGTATTAATTGGAACCAACTCAAGTTAGTGGCAGCCACTGATCTCGATGGAGTAATCTGCGCAAACTTAGACACGTTGTATATTAAAAAAAAAAAACCAGACACCAACTACAAATTCAATAGTTATGATATATTAAGTAATCAAATTATGTCCAAATAACATTTTTTTAATTAAAAATGAACATGCATTAACCTTCCATTGTTTGGTGCTTGATCAATCTACGAGCTTTATAGCTACATATGCATGCTAGGAATTAGGAAGCCTTTGCCTTCCCAAATAACAAAATACACCCAACCATTGCGACAGTAGAAAGTCTTCACATGTCGGGTTTATGATTCCATTAGTTTAGACCTCTTTTGTGGACTTTTATGTATGTCCAATTTGTAAACCTCCACGCGGTTTGTGGCTAAGGCGTAACCACGTCTATATATACCCCCCTCAGTCCCTCAGGTTTCCTCATCGATCATCAATCAAATTCTGTTGGGTTTTACTTCGGTTAAGGTGATGGAGTTTTACGTTATTGCCTCTTGTTGATGTTAGTTTTAAGCTCTTGTGGTTAGTGACTCTGCGTTGAAGTTTTATCATGGTTTTGGCATAATGTTTGACCAAAAACTAGGTGCAATTTGTATATATATATATATATATATATATATGGTGACATGCAAATTTCAGTGAACAAGAGTCAGTTATTGTGTTAAAAAGAAAAAGGGTTGGAGCATGCTCAAGTTTTTTGAGATTATGGTATTAGTTTATGTTCATAATAATCAATAGGGTTTTCTAAGAACATTCTCTTAGCCTATGTTAAGGTTTTTCTTGCACTGACTAGTAATTTCAAAAAATCTCTAGATGGATTTGCAATTATGTTTGTTTAGCTTTCATGTTATCCTAGTAATATGAATGATTAATTCCAATAAAAAATATGCAGTACAAGTGCCTTATTATTTGTGTCTTACACTAACCTTGTATGAGTTGGTTATTACCAGAAATAACATTCAGATTTTTTGGTCATTAGTACTAATGAGTGTAATGATTTACATCACTTTTAAATTAATTGGGCAGGTAAGAGAAGAAAATGGCATATATAAATGCAGCATTTCGTTCGTCTCGTATAAATGAAGTCTATTTATTCGTGAAGAACGAGTATGTGCTAGTGAACTATGCTCCAGGCACGAAAGACGACAAGGTGTTGTTTGGACCACATCTTATCGGCATTGGATATCCATCCCTCACGGGCACAACCTTTGTAGAACCTGGAATAGACTGTGCTTTTGGGTCTCATCATAAGGATCAAGCATTCATCTGGGAATCTCTGTGCACAGATTAACTACGCACCACACACCGCAAATGATAGGATAATCACAAGACCAATGACCATCATGCAATGTTCCCCTTCTTCAAAGGGACAGTGTTTGAAAATGGCGTAGACACCGCGTTTGAGTCAACGAAAAACTATGAAGCTTACCTCTTCAAAGACAACCAGTATGCTTTTATTAACTACGATTATGATTCCCACCTCATCTCCATCCGTCTCATCAATCGAGGTTTTCCTAGTTTGAAAAACACCATCTTCGAAAGTGGAATTGATGCAGGGTTTTCTTTGCACAAGACTAATGAGGCATACCTATTCAAAGGAGATTACTACGCTCGCATCAACTTTGCTCCCGGCACCACAGATGACTACATCACTGGTGGCATCAAGAAGATCCTTACCTATTGGCCCTCTTTACGTAGCATCTTGCCACTCAAAAATAGTGGATGAACTTTAAAAAGTCAGTCTTATGTGCCAAAGTGTGGATGGCATTCTTCGAATAAGAGTTTAGCTCGGGTTGGCAGTTTCTTGTTTATCTTTAGTTGGAATAATTAAGGATGTATGTAGTGTGGATTGGGGTTATCTTATCTCCTCCTCCTTCAACCACCTTATAAATAAAACTAGTAGAAAGTTTGTTACTTTTAAATACATTCATCTGCACGTGCATACCTCATTCTTAAGATAGAGTTGCATGCTATTTATATGCAAGTCTCAATTTTGTCCTGAGAACTTTGAGCAAAGGAAAATTATGCTGACTGTAATCGTAGATGACGGAACATTTTTATTTTTATTAATATAAAAAAGAAATAGGAGGACCAAACTATATTTCAATCAATCAAGTTACTCTACATTGGGACTCGATGGTTGGCCGGTATATTAGTCTAGCTAGGTTAGTTTCCGAGAGAAGTAACAGACGTGATCAGGGGCCTCAAGATCCCACCAATGAGAATCTATCGGGTGATCTCTAAACACACTCCATTACCCTCACCCCTTTAAAAAATTAAAAATCAAGTCTAAGTCAAGTCGCATTGTGTTATGACTGTATTCATTCTTTTTTATCTCTAGTACTAACAAATATGATTAACTTACACAATTGCTATATGATCCGATAGAAATCGGTATGTTCAAAAATGATAAAAGATACAGTCACGGTCAGTTTCGCACCCCCATCAAAGTGGATTAGACCCAAAGAAAAATGTCCAAATGTTTCTGCTTGGACTATAGTTCCTGGGTACAAAACGATTCTTTTGTTCATTTCACACATGGTTCAGCCCTGTTGGCTCAACAAATTGTTCTTCTGGGTAAGTAGTCCAACATATTGCTTGGGGAAGCGCTACAAATATGAGGTGCCCCATACCTTTTAATGTTTCAGGTTACAACACTACAAAAAAAAAAAGAGATTTACTGTCGTTTGTTAAACGCCACTTATTACTTTTTTCGGCGTTTAGTTTAAAAGTCGTCTAAAGCTCCGTTGGAAATTTTGTCGGCGTTAAGCCTTGACGTTTACACAAACGCCACTTAGCTATTTTTAACTCCGGTGATCGGAAAATTATAACCGACGCCGGAAATTTATTCATTGCTTTGTGACAGTTATATAAACGCCAGGTATTGCTTTTCATATCTGTTTTTTTTTTCTTTTGGTCTAGATTGTTTTTCATATCTAAACACCAGCCATTGAATAAAACCCATTAGCTGAACTATCATCCGATACCGAAGAAAGAATTACGCTCCAGTACTAAAAAGAATAACATATAAAGAAAGATGTTAAAACATTTCACTCACAGTAACACTAGCAAGTCCAGGGGAAAAAAGAAAGATGGATAAAACGACGACTCATTGGATGTCTCAATATATATTTCAAAATCTTAAGAAATTCCCTTCTACATGTCTCCATAATGAGACTGTCTAATCCTCTACAGGCACAAATACAGGGATTGTTCCATTCCGTCTACTGAAAAATATATTTCTATTCTAATGTCAATATTGGTGAAGCTGTGCCTATTCCAAAATCAAATAATTAATAAAATAACATACAACTATACCGCATTATCTCCTTATGGACCTGTATCATACATGCTAAGTGTGTGCTTGTTAGTTGTATCTACAAAAAGGGTGTTCGAGTATGCTTATTCCTGTGTGAGGAGTGGAGCTTGCATTTAATTAGAGGCAGAGAAGGCTGTAGAAAACCAGGGGTATGAAGGCATTATCAAGCTGTGCGGTGTAGGCCTCCAACAAGCCGCTCAGGGTCACAGTGAGGAGAAGAGAGAACCAGTGCTGCACAAATCGACAACACAGCTGTCAAAATGGGTATCAATTACGAAGGAGAAACCAATTTTCCATAGGTAGGTTTCTCCAACTATGGGGCATTTATATTATAGAGGAAGGGAACAATCATGAATGAAATATGATCTCAATGACTTAATATGGGTCAGAGACAACCAACAGAAGAATGAACCAATGCATAAGCCTCGCCGTCTTTGTGCACAGGCGCGTATACAAGTGCTTTGCGAGGTCAGAAGTATATTGGGGGGGGGGGGGGGGGATCCTGAGAGTAAGTGTATGTCCAGTTGTTGCTGCAAGTGGAAGGAGAACAGAGCAAGCTGCCAAGACAGAAGTTATACCAGCTGCAGTTCCTTCAACGGTTTTCTCTAGCAAGTAGGAAAAAATAAACCTGTTAAAGTGTTAAAGGCTAAAAACATGCCAGCAGAAGAAATTTTACTTGCTGACTGTTTTGCTCCACCGAAGAACTCCATATTTGTGGCCAACCATCAATGCCTAAACGCAAAGGCCAAACCATCCATTTAAATTCAAGATAAGAATCTCCAAGCACAAAATGTTTTATATGTTCACAACCACTGAGAAGATTTTATATATCGAGTCATCTGCATATTTCACTCAATTCCTTTTAATCCACAGAATTCATGACAACTATAAGTTCGTCACAAGTACATTTTGCCTACCTTCAATTTGCAACTAAAAGGATGACATACATACGTTGAGCTACAATGGTGACAAGTTTTTCACCACAATGTGTGTTGGAGTATAGATAGTAGTCTAGGTTTATTAGGATTCCTTTTCTCTTTTTTACCCTTACTATGATTTTTATATTTTGTCTAAACTACAAGGATGTTTAAGTCACTCTGTATTATTTTTGGCTATATATACGGGACTCTACTTTGAGTTTGAGTATCCCTTTCACATATTCCAAGTTGGTATCAGAGCCAAAACCCTAGCCTCCATCTCTAAGCCTAACCCTAACCCTAACCTTAACCCTAGCCTTCATCACCTTCCCAGCAGCCACCGTTCCACTCCAGCGCCACACCCAAACAATCTGCAACAGCCTGCCCAACCTCCAGCGCCACACCCAGGCCACCAGAACCAGCGACAGCCTCCATAGAACCCAGCGACTGCCGACTGCCCACCGACCGACATACTCCAGCCAAACCAGCGAACCAAAACAGCACCTCCAAAACCAGCGACTGCCTCCATAGAACCCAGCGACTGCCGACTGCCCACCGACCGACATACTCCAGCCAAACCAGCCGCTGCTCACCCAACTCCGATAGCCGGTTCCTTGTAACAGTTCTCCAATAAACTGCCCAGCCACCATTACATACCCACCAACCGACATACTCCAGCCAAACCAGATTGCACTAGCGACAACCCAGCAAAGAACACCGATAACTGCCCGTTCACCGAATCAGTCCACCGACTGGTGAACCCGACTGGTGTGAACCCACCGACAACAAACATACATCAAACCAACCAATAAATCCAACACAGCCCAGCCCAGCCGACATATTAAATCCATAACCCACCGACATATTAAAACCAACCCAAAACAATTCTCAACCCAACACAGCCCAGACATATTAAATCCATACCCAACATACACCCCACCGACATATTAAATCCATACCCAGCCCACTGCCAACCAATAAACCCAACTCGCTGTTATATCTAGGATTTTTTATGAGGGGTTGTTGATTTGTTCTTGATGCAGTAGATCACTTATTTATATATTTTGGATTTCTGGGCACCGTGACTTAATTATTTGGGAGCTTTTTGGACCTTCCTTATTTGTCGCTACTGTTCGACTGAAGGAATATTGTTCTCCCTTATTTTATTCCTCTATTTATCTTAGAGTTATTTTTCTGTCACGGGTGCCCTAGTATTGTTGTTGATATGGCTACTACTGAGGGACTTGAGAACCCTACTGTTGACACCTCTACCGTTGAGACATCTATGGGTACTTCCACTTTTATGTTTGACCAGTATACAGTGCCTACTAGCACAGTTGCATTACCAGCATTACCGGGCATGATCTCTCAAAAAGTTACGGCACAATTGTTGAATGGTCGTAACTTCGCTGAGTGGTCACGCTCATTCCAGCTTTTCTTAGGCCGTGTAGGGAAGCTTGGTTGGCTGACGGGATCTCACCCAAAGCCAGCTGATGCCGACCCTGGATATTCTGCATGGTTCTCTGAAAACTGTGCCATTCTTGGATGGTTATTTGGCTCAATGGAGCCCTCTGTTTGCAGGATCCACCAGTTTCATAGCTCTGTTCCGAAGCTATGGAGCGCATTATCAGAGATGTATTCTCAGTCAGGACGGGGAGTTCGTGTTTATGAGCTTTCTCAGGAGCTCTCATATGCTCGGCAGGGAGATATGACCGTTCAGGATTATTATGGCTATTTGACCCAGCGCTGGCTTGAGTATGAGTCTCTACGTCCTCTTGCTGCTATTCCGAAGATAGAGCCCGAGGGAGCAGCATTCTTGCATACTCGAGAGCAGGAGGATAGGATTCACAAGTTCCTTATGGGGCTTCGTGATGAGTTTGAGGGACCTCGTTCTCAGATCTTGTCGATGTTGACACTTCCTTCTCTTTATGAGGTGTATGGGATGATTGAGCAGCATGAGCGTCGAGTCCGTATTGCATCACTTCCAGTTGCAGCTTTGACTCCTTCGATTGACCAGATGGCCCTTGCAGCTGCTGTAGGGTCCCGTTCAGGATCCTTAGTCAGGGATGGGCAACGCTCAGACCAGCGCCGTCAGGGCGCCCCAGATCAGCGCAGACGGGGGGATTCCCGTCAATGTGATTATTGTGGCCGACCAGGACATCTCAGGGCTACTTGCTGGAAGCTCCATCCAGAGCTTAAGCCACCTTCTCGCAGCCGTACTGTTGCTATTGCTGAGGTACCACCGCCCACTACCGCCACTCCTGCTACTGCTCCTCCTTGGCAAAGTGATATGGATGCTATCACTTCCCGATTAGATATACTTATGTCTGCTCTGACTTCTCAGAGTCTGACTACTGCTGCTGTCACCACTACAGGTATATCTCGTGCCTTTCACGCTTGTGCCAGTTCATCTCCCCTTTGGATGTTGGACTCGGGTGCGAATGGTCACATGACAGGTGAGGCCCATCACTTCACCACTTTTGACGAGCC